GCCAAAATAATGAATTTCGTAGTCGCAATCGCAAGATTTGGCTGCGTTTCTGGCGCATGCCGTTCATTTGTGGCGCAAAATAATGTTGGAAACAAAGAAGAGTAGGCACTATGTACCCCCGAATTAGAATCTAATTAATTCTAAACCGAATTAACTCTAATTCAAATTAGAATCCTTACAACCAAGCAACGACAAGGCGATAACATAAACAAAAACCCAAGCGTCGCTGTTTGAAACAAAAGCGCCATATACTGCGACTTTTTTATAGAGAAGGACAACGCATTTCGGTGGGTGTTACAAGTACTGCAAGTACTGCTTCTTTTTTGCAAAAATAAAAACCTTTTTCACATACGAAAATGTGCTAGGAAATTTTCATATTTTATAGAAACTACAGTAGAAATAGTATAGATGTCGAGTAATTTTTATTTAAGAAAAAAGAAAGCTCATTATCTCCCTTTAAAAAAGCGGTGTTGCTCACACACTTTTTATATGGCACTTTTTTATGGCATGAAGATAAACGCTGCAAAAACCGAGATGATGGTCGCCGGAGGCCGATCGGCGCTACAGGCTGCCGAGAGGGATCCGGTCCGAGTGCAGTTCCTGGGAGAGACTCTGCAACCGGTGTCAACTGTTAAAAATCTAGGTGTAATCTTTGATAGCCGACTGACCTTTGAACCACACATTGATTATATCGTCACCAAATGTTTAGGCGTTCTTGTTGGCCTGATGCACGCCAGGCATGTGCTTCCTCCAAGCGTACTTCCGACTATACTGGACGCCTTAGTCATGTCACATGTGCGCTATTGTAGTCAGGTATTCGGCTGTGCCAGCAAAACGAGCTTAAAGCGACTGCAAAAAGTGCAAAACTTTGCTGCCAGAGTGATATCTGGTAGACGGAAGTATGATCATGTGTCCGACGTGATTAGGAATTTGGAGTGGCTCCCCGTCAGTGCGTTGATTGACATGAACGACGTATGTCTGCTACACGGGGTGATTAGCAGGGGTGAGCCTGAGGTACTGCGACAGGACATATCGTACAATAGAGATGTTTCCGAGCGCCAGACTAGGCAGTCCGGTCATTTACATATACCGCGTGTTCGAACCAGCCTTGGCCAAAGAACTTTTAAGCAGCGAGCGTGTAAACTGTACAACGAACATGTCATAGGAACGGAGCTTCAGGTCATGTCTGGTCCGCGCTTTAAGAAAGGTATTAAAAGTCACCTAGTCAGGTAGCTGGATAGGCGACCATACAAACATTTTAGCTGTGCTTTTAGTTCTAGCGTGCTTTTATACTTTTGCTGGTTTAACTGTTTATGTGTCTTTTTAACGCGCTTACTGTTTTGACGAGGGCTCGGAATAGCCACCTTGAGTGGAAGAGTGCCGATGATGTAAAATACAAATACAAATACAAATATAGCTCGATTTATTATATCGTGCACGTGCATAACATTGTATTTTGTATGTTATAGTTTACCTATCCAATATCTATTTAACAGTGTCACTTCCCATAGAAACTGGTGCAAATCCAGGCGCGTGCTTCCTTTCTCGGCCTTTTTCCCAGTCCACTGTCCCCCCCCCCCCCCAGTAATCACAGACCACACATGGAGTCCTCCCTCCCCTCCCCCTCCACTGAGGAGTCCTCCCTCCCCCTCCGCGGTCAGCCTGTCCTCCCGTGGCGCAAATTAGACTCCGGCGAGCCACTGACAAATCGACCGGCTTACCGTCGGCATTGTCCTCCTCCCTCTGTCTTCTGTCCCCCTCCCCTCTGCCCTACTGGTGGGATCACAGTCGCCGCCGCCGCCGCCGCCGGACACAGGCAATGCCGGTACATCTTCTATTTTCCCCACCGACTTCCTGGTTTGGTCACCCCTATGAATACCTGCCCTGTCCATCGCACCGAGTGCGAAAGACAGAAAGCCGTAATGAACATCACTAGGTCACTTATAGTGACCCATTTCAGACAATTAGTGATCCGCGGATGGGCAGACGCGCGTCTGACTGTCCTGGACACGCCAAAAACAGTTGTCGGGGCCCGGAATAAGTGCCCGCTCACTGACTAGGGCCGGTTCGGGATATTACGCTGTTTTGCAGTCGCTCGTTATTGAATTCGGTGTTTTCGAGATTGACTCTGTGCTTTTGTTTCACTTGTGTTTTTCTTTTTCACAAATGCCAGAAAGCTTTGGCCTGCGGCAATTGTCAAAGCGCAGATTGAGTTTGATTGTTTTTTTATGATCAAAGCACAGTATTACCTGAAATAGGGCCTGCAAATAACCTCGGGGATATTGAAAGCGCTAGCATATCAAGAGTATTTTGATTACGTGACTTCAACAGCCTTATTTGAATCTTGGAAAGTCCATGCGTAATTTAAAGATTTGATGGTCAAAGATCAATGATTTTCTCCGTCGAACTACATTCTTTAGTCGAAATATTGCGGTACGCGCGTGACCTTCAGAGAATAGTTTGTGACGTCACCTCCGCTCCGGTAGGCCGAGATTCCCCGCCGGAAACGGGTGCTTTCCGGTGGGAGGAGCAATCTCGAGAGCGTGGGAAAATGCGCCTCATTTGCATAATGAATGTAGTCAGGATGAGAGTTTTCTTTCAGAACATATGTCTAATTTATTATCTGTTTAGACTTGAACTGTACGCAATTTTGATGAGTGATCCTTGGATTCAGTCAGCTTTTGATTGCCTCAATTTTAACAAATAAATGATGATGTTTTAATGGGAAGTGGCATTGAGCATCACAGTCTCCCAAATAAACATGATTAGCTGCATTATTTGCATATTAATGAACATTAATGAAACGATTCTATGAAACACAATTCCTAGTAGGGCTGCTCAAACATACCATTGCTTACATCCAACGACAATTGCTGGTGCTTTATTTTCTTTCTTGAATCAACCCATCGCCAGACCATAATAATTGACCACGTAATCACCCATTTCGAGATGAAGCCCTCCTCGGCGCGTTTAAATTTGACCTCGACAGATTTTTACGCGTTTTCCCAAAAATCAATTCACAAAAAGCCGTCTGCCGTCCTGCCTCAGCGGATCCAAACAGAACCGACGTCCTGCCGAATGCAGGCCAAAATTTCGCTATCTAATCTCTACTTTCCCAAACGAGAGCATAAAATATCGATGGCGCGGTCTAAATTAGTCGATAATTATCCGTGGATTGATTATAAGGCCGGCCGGCGGTCGCCCGGATTTATTACGGGTCTGCGGGACGGACGTCCCAAGACGATCGGCACCCGTGGATAAAAACATGTTTTTGAACCGGACCGCGAAAATAGCTCGGAAGGAGGCAACACTCACGGAAAATAGACTACAAGTGAGCGGCATAAAGAGTGGCCCAAGACGGTCCTGTCTTTAGGCAGTAGCAGGGAATCTTCGGAGCATGGGAAAGTTGCTAAATTGCGATGATACCTCAACCATGCGTAGCTGCATGAAATCAAACGGTGTCCGGAGTCAATATTTGCAGTTTGTACACCTAAGCGTTGCTTGCGCTGGTAGGCCTGGAGCCTGCCTTACACAGCAGTTTGATTCATCATCTGCTAGAGTAACCAGTAGCCAATTATAATTTCTTTAAACGTTCAGCAATGCATCAAAGGACTTTATTTTTAATATACGCGACATCCGGTGGTCAAGATAACCGCCGTCCTGTGTTGTTGTGTTTCATTGAGGTGTTTTCTGTAGACTTATTCATACGTACACTCTTGCGATGTTCTGTGCTTTCTATAGAATACACAGGTGAGGTGTAAAAAATACTGCGCCAGCAAGGCGCCGTGCGAAATTATCTCACCTGTTTCGCACTCCATTACCAACTCGCCCAACCACCCATATCCGAACTGAAGCGGCGAATCTAAAGACAGGTGTGTTTGTGCAGGCCTCATTGACCCACTCTCCTCTCTCCCTCCCCTCTCTCCCCTCTCTCCCGGGTGCCGCTCTGCCTCCCGTCCCCTCCCTGCCGTGTCGCCGCGAGGGGAAGGACGGGAGGCGCCGGGCGGCTTTGGACAGGGTGAGGGGAGGAGGGGGGGGGGGGGTAATGAGGGAGGTAATTAGAGGACGGCACGTGTTGTGCACGAGCAGGTGAAGGGGTCGGCTGTCCCCTGTGACCAATATAGACACGCGCCCAGATCTGATGGTAGCTTGATGAGAGGTCGGGGACATCTAAAGAAAAGCACGGAGTGGGGAAAGAAGTGTGCGATAAAGTGGAGATGGTGCTTTGCTGTGCAAACTGAGTGAAATCAAGGACAGAACTTCTGTCAACAATGGCGATAAATTCCATTACACTGCGGAGTCGGAGTCTGAGTCGGAGTCGGAGTCGGCCGGAATCGACAGTTCTGAGCGGAGTCGGAATCGAAGTCGGAGTCGATTTTTGAAACTGGAGCCGGAGTGGGAGTCGGAGTGACCGATAATCTTGAGACTCCGCACTCCGCAGACTTCACAGGGCTGCAGAGTCGGACTCTGATTTCGAGTCGACAGTACTGCCCGGAGACTGGGAGTCGGAGTCGGAGTTGGTTTTTGAAAGTCGGAGTCGGAAGCGAGGTCACCGAAAATTCATCGACTCGGAGTCGGAGCGGGAGTCGATTTTGGAGCGAGCAAGAGCCGGGGAGTCGGAGTCAAAGTCACCGAATAAATCCATAGACTCCGCAGACGCAGACTCACCAAGGCCGGGCTGCGGAGTTGTAGTCGTATAAGTCGAAGTCGGTCGGATTCGACACTTCTGCCCGGAGTCGGAGTTCAGATTTTTGAAAGCAGGAGTCTGAGTCCGAGTCACCGTAAATTCATATTCATTCACAGCCTGTTCGAAAGTACCCTGGGTACATTCAAAGTTGTATAAAAAACGGAATCCCAGAGTGCAATTTCGGATTTCCCATATTCGCTTTGGAATGCAACAATGTATGTGTAGGTTTATATAATACGGCTAGGCTAGGTCTTTGCCTAATATCACATCATTTTGACTTTCAAAGCAATTTTCTGTGCCGCAACATAATTTCGCTAAAGAGAACCTAGATGATTGGTAAAGTTTTTTGGTGTTTGGTAGCTAAACTTGGTAGCTCTTATTGATTCAATAATGAGCGACATGCTTCGTAAGCGCAACGCATTTTAGCAGCTGTCGTTCGTGGATGTTTTTGTTTTTGTGGAGACTGGAGCTATTTTAAGAAAATAATAAAGGAGGTTAGGACAACTTATACGGCCGTGGTTAGGACAACACTTTGTTACGATGGGTAGAACAGTTGTTGCTGAAAAATATTTAGAGTCAGAAGTCAAGACACTTGTGGGTTCTGGAGCGAAGTATGGTCTCATTATTGGTCAGGTAAGAATTCATTTAAATTTGATTTAAAGCTTGTTTTAGCTTTTATTTCTGCTGAAATAATCAGATGAGTTCAATTAGCATGATTTTTTTTCAATGGAAACTACTTGCAGATGAATTCACATTTTTTTTTCTTCGGTTGTTGGTCATTCATATCAAAATGAGAATAAAATGGTAGGTAAGGCTGTGAGGGCCGGGGCCAGTTTGTGACAAACCATGATCATTTGTGGATATTCTCAAATGTTCTTTGTTCTGACATTTGAGTTAAAACTGCTGTATTCTGAATACCTTGACCTGTTGTTAAATTCCGTATTCAATGGCACCTCATCTTTGGCCGCATTGTAATTGCCAGTAGAAGTGGGTTTGTATATTGGTTGGTTAAAATTTAGACATTTTTTGTTCCTTTTTTCCTTGTGAGACAGTGACAGTCATTGAATATGTGATCAATGTCCAGTTAATATTGAATGCTGATTGTTCCATACCCCCTTGTTTTCCAGAACACCACAGGCAGGGCAGTTGTGGCCCATCTATGCTGCACACCGCCTTCCGAGGCAGCCAGTGATTCTCCAGTGAATGACTCTTGGATCGCCAAACATGCCAAGCAGGTAGCCACTCCTATAACCATATGATATTATTCATTTGTGTGTTTATTTGCATTCATTGCATTAATTGTATTCATATATGTAGTGGACATCACAATTTGAATTGCCCTTTGGCCCTGTGATGAGGTGAAACACTTGTGCCAGCTGGTTTTGTATGTGTTGGCACAATGACTGTCGACACTTTCTCACAAACTTTCGTTGAACTGCTAGGCTAGGGCTTTGAGTAACTCACTCACCTGGTGAGTTATCTGAGTAAGATGCAACTGAGTAAGATACACTTTACCTTGATTTCATAGGTAGTTAAAGTGTGGCTAGGATTATTCTTTCTGCTGACATTTTGTACGTAGACACCAAACATTGTATTTCCTGTAAAGCTGCTCACATGTATAGCTTCTTGTTGAACGATAGTTTATGCAGAGCCAGGAAATCAATTTCTGTACCATTGCCATCTTGATACATGATTGCTGCCCAAACAGTGTCTGCCTTATTTCATGTGACCATGTCATGCTTTCAGAGCTTTGGGGTGGTCCCCTTATCCCTCATTCATCAGTGGTTACTGGTTACTGTAGTATGTTATGTAAATCTTCCAACCTTACTTCCCGTGAATCATGGAACACCCCCCCCCCCCCCTACAGGTCATTCAGCTGCTGCCCGGTGGTATGGATATACTCGGTCTGTTCGTTGTGGCCTCCCCGGATCTCTTCAAGTCACACGAGACCCAGTTGCGCTCGGCTCTCACTGCCATCTATCGGGCGCTAGAGAAACTACCGCAGCTGCATGATACGGAGACGGACGAACGGCTCGTGGCACTGCTCGACCCGCGGACGAAAAAGTACGCGCTTGTGGGATGTTTCTCTCATGTTTGTCGGTGTATTTTGGATGTTCTCATTTTTATTTTGCCTTGCGTCTAGATTCCTATTGCTTGTAGCATTGTACTGCTCTCCATTTTCAAGCAGAAGCAAGTCATATTTCATCACAAGGCGCCATGATGCTGATTTTCGCACATGATATTGCATTGTAACCATTTCGGCTATAGTTTTAGGGCCTGAGTTTGATTACTCACACTTTCCATGACCTTTGACCTATGCCCTCTAACCAGTAGTGTGACATGTTCCATGACCTTTGACCTATGCCCTCTAACCAGGTGACATGTTCCATGACCCTGGACCTATGCCCTTACAGGGTGACATGCCGCTCACTAGAGCTCTCCAGCCTGACCTCGTCCCTCCGACCGGCTGAGTGGCGCTTCCAGGAGTTGCGCTGGCACCGCGCGCAGAGCGCCCTCTCTGTCCAGGTGACGTCCGGAGTGGGCGTCCTGGCGGCCGAGACCAGTCTGCTGCGACAGGTTATGGTAAGTCAGAGAGTGGACTATTGTGACAATGGTACGTCATAGAACAGTCTATTTGTGACAGTTAACAGTATGGTAAAGTCATGGAGCAGTCTTTTATGACATGTTTTTTTTATAAGTGATAGAGCAGTCTTCTGTGACGCCTGGTAAATCAACGTCATGGAGCATTGTATGTGATAAGATATGGTGAGAGATAGAGCAGTCTTCTGTAACAGTTGGTGGAAGGTCGAGGAACAGTCTTCTGTGAAAGCTGGCAATGATAGACTTAGAAGACATATAACGTTTTTCTGCGACAAGTAATGATAAGCAATAGAGGATTACCTATCATAAAACAGGTTATGCCATTTCATTGATGAGTTATCGATGTTAGACGTTCATGTATTCCTCCCTGTTGGCACCAGCAGATGTTTCCGTCGTTTTATCTTCACTCGTGGCTGCCTATCTCAAAATCCAGTGCTGTGACGATTCCCCACCCGTTTTGTTTTTGTCATCAGACATCTCTAGAGCCGTTTCTCTCGTCCCTGGCGGACGCCAGCTGTCTCGTGGACGGAAAACTGGTCGACGGAGACGCTCTCCTGTCGGGGGATGACGAGAAACCGGGCAAATCAGCCGGAAAAACGTTCGCCTTCGATCTACTCTATGACACAGTGAGTGTGGCGTGGATGCGTTTTGTACTGCCGAAAGCAGCTCATTTGTTGGTGTTTTTATGGTTTTGGTAAATAAGAAGATAATTATGTGTGTATGCGCCTTAGGATTGTAAACTGATATAAAAATTACATATTTCACGTTAAATCGAATACATTTTAATTACAAATGCCGATATTTCAAATAGTTTATTGGCATTGTAACGATTCTGTTTATCGCCTAATAGCTCAGCACCACTAAATTTATTTTGTTAACATATTACATTATTTGAGTATGTGTTTGTTCAAGCAAAGAGCGATTGCCGAACTATTTGAAACCGATGTCGCCATGGCTTGTTGAAAACCGTTAATGTTGTAGCAATAAATGTAACATGACTTTTTCCAATTTCATCCTACTCATGTTCAACCTAGTCATGTTCATCCTACTCATCTCATCCTACTCATGTTCATCTCATCCTACTCATGTTCATCCTACTCATGTTCATTCCACTCCTACACTCTGCTGTATGTGACGAGTTCACGTGCTGACGTGTCTCTCCGGTCCTCCCCAGACGAAGACGCCGCCCAGTGAACAGCTGCTGGAGCCGGTGGAGGCCGTTATCAGGATCAACGGGAGGATCCACTGTCTGGCCTATCTACACACCAAGGCCACGGTGAGAGAGAAAGACGAGTCGTTTTTTTATTGTTTACGGTCAGAATGGAAATGTTTTTAGGTTATACGATCGCTAATTGCAATAAGTGAATGTCAAGTGTAATAAATTTAGAGAATCTAAAATTGTATGCATGTAACAAGCGTTTTGGTGGCATCATGGGGTGTTTGATCCAGATGTTCATTGATTGTGGCTCATTTTCTTGTTTCATTTTACGAGGATTATGAAAGAATATCTGGCACACCTTGTTCTCTCTCTCCCCTCTCTCTCTCTTTCTCCCTCTCCCTCTCCCTCTCCCTCTCCCTCTCCCTCTCCCTCTCCCTCTCCCTCTCCCTCTCCCTCTCCCTCTCCCTCTCCCTCTCCCTCTCCCTCTCCCTCTCCCTCTCCCCCCTCTCTCTCTCTCTCTCCCTCTCCCTCTCCCTCTCTCTTTTCTCTCTCACCCTCCCACCCTCTCCCCCAGGTCTCAGAGGCCGCTGCCGCTCTCCGTCGTGACGCCCGACGCTCTCTCGCCGCCCGCTGCCAAATGCACTGCGATTCGCTAGTAGAAGAACAACCCTCGGACGAGGCAGCCACGGTCCTTCACGAGCCTCCGCGTCGCGTGCTAGCACCTCTATCCGGGTCGGCGGTACACGTTAGCGACTATCTTTATCCGGGTGATACTCCAGGAGATAGTCTTCAGACGCTTTCAGAGCTGTTTGGTCTACAGTTGGAGGTCGATGATGTGCTTGATACGGTGGAGGTCGCCTCGGGTGAGTTTTGGGAGTGGGAGAGTTGGGATGAGTTAACCCGCGCCCTGGTGGGGTCTGTTTATAACGCGACCTGGTGGGGGGGGGGGGGGGGCTATTTTTTGCCCCCCCTCGTATCTCCGAAACTACTGGACGGATCCGCAAAATTCAAACGGCGTTCGATAGCCCTGTCAAATTTGTCGAAGGAAACCAAATTTTATTGACCTCGGGGTCACCGATGACGTCACAGGTCAGGTCAAAGATAAAATGTTTCACCGTTCACGGGGCTTCTAGGGAAAGCGCTATAACACCGAGTAAAACGCATTTTGTCGAAAATCAGCGATAAGACGTCAGTTGTCTAGTACATATGTTGCTATCAGAGGTCACTGGTCATACCAGGTCAGGTCACAGGTCAGGTCACCAAAGGTCACCAAGGGTCACCACATGAACCCAACTTTACTAAGGTTGTGCGATGCATGTTTTATGGCCAGTTTTTCATTTCCAACCCAATGGTGTTGGTTATAAGACCATCAGGTACGGTTTAGGTCACTTTCTGGTGGATGTCAGGTCAAGGTCAGGTCAAAAAAGGTCAAATTTCAAAGTTCATATTTTTGCATAAAATGGGTATCGATTCGATGCAGCTCGTCACGGGGAGTCTAATGGTGGTCTTTGTTTTGCACTACGAGGTCTAGAATTGCTAAAAATTGAGTTTGAAAATTTGACGTCATCAATTTTGAACAGTTTTTCGCTATAACTTCGCCAAAAAAAGAGGTATCAATCTCAAATTTGGTATGTGGATGTAAGGCGGTAAGGACTATCACATATATTCCGGTTTTTGCGAAATTCATAAAACTTTTTGGATTTTTCGACTATTATATCCCAAAAATCTATTTTTTGATTTTTGGGGGTCAAAATCAAAAAAATTCAAAAATCCGAGATACCAGTTTTGTAGCCCTGTCAATTCTACAGCTTTTATGTCTTAAACATTTTTCTGTATTTGCAAAGCTTTAGGCCTGACAGCTCTTCCCGCGAAACCCTTTTTGGGTCGAAAACGGCAGAACATGACGTCACTCTGACGTCATTTCCGGCCAACCTATCATAGCTTTTGGAAAAAATTTTGGTCACAATGTGTAAAATTGATGTCCGGGAGGGTACTGAAAGTTTGGTGACGATCGGCGCAGCGGTTCTGGAGATATATCGAAAAGTCTGGAGGGGGGGGGCAAAAAATAGCCCCCCCCCCACCAGGTCGCGGGTTAACCCGCGCCCCGTAAGGGGGGGGGGCCGAAACGGCCCCCCCCTGTCCTTTTCGGTCGATATCTCCTAAACGGCTGGAGATATCGCCACCAAACGTTCAGGACCCCTCCGGGCATCAATTTTACACATTGTGACCAAAAATTTTACCAGAGGCTATGATAGGTTGGCCACAAATGACGTCAGAGTGACGTCATGTTCTGTCATTTTCGACCGAAAAAAGACCTTCGCGAGAAGACCTGTCAGGACTACAGCTTTGAAGATACAGAAAAATGATCAAGACATAAAAGGTGTAGAATTGACAGGGCTACAAAACTGCTATGTCGAATTTTTGAAATTTTTGAGTTTTGACCTCCAAAAATCAAAAAAGCATTTTTTTGGATATATTCGCCAAAAAATCCAAAAAGTTTTTTGAGTTTCGAAAAAAAACCGGAATATATGTGATAGTGCCTACCGTCTTCTATCTACATACCAAATTTCAGATCGATAGCTCGTTTTTTGGCCAAGTTATAGCGAAAAAACTGTTCAAAAATGATGACGTCAAATTTTCAAACTCAATTTTTGGCAATTCTAGAACCCGTAGAGCAAAACGAAGACCACCATTAGACTCCCCGTGACGAGCTGCATCGAATCGATACCCATTTTATGCAAAAATATCAACTTTGAAATTTGACCTAATTTGACCTGACCTTGATCTGACCTTCACCAAAACGTGACCTAGGCTGGCCCCAAAGGCTGCCTAACCCACATAATCGCATTTGTCATGTAAAATGGACCATAAAACATGTATCACACGACACATTCATATTGTGACCCCCCGTGACCTGACCTCGCTGTGACCTGACCTGGTATCAGTGACCTCAGATAGCAAAGTATGTGTTTGACGAACAATGTACCATCGATGGTTTTCAATAAATTACCAATTTACTCGCTTTCACAGCACATTTCTTGAATTGCCTGTGAACGGTGAAAATCTGACCTTTGACCTGACCTGTGACGTCATCGGTTTGACCTAGGTCAATGAAATTTGGTCACAAGGTAGTTCCCGGGTGGGGCTATCGAACTCCGTTTGAATTTTGAAAATCGGCCGGTAACTTTCCGAGATCTTAGGGGGGGGGGGGCCGAAACGGCCCCCTCTACGGGTGGTAGGGTCCGCCGGTAGCCCTACGGGGCGCGGGTTAAGAGAGGGGGGATAAATTTGGTGTGTTGGAAATGTGATGAATGGGAGAGTGTGGGGAGGGGGAGGGAAGGTTGTTGGGTTTGAGTGTGGGGAGGGTTAGGAAGTGAATTGGAGGGGCTGAGTGGGGTCGCCGGGGTAGATGTAGTGTCAGGGGTGAGTTTCAGTGGTAGAGGGTGGATTTGAGTATCAGGGCTGAGTTTTGAGCTTCAAGTGTGGGTTATAAGCGTCAGGGATGAGTTTGACTTTTGTAAATGATCAGACATGATTGAGTTTTATTCACGATCGATGGCATAGGAATTTGACTTGTGTTGCCATCGATCGTGAATAAAACTCAATGAGTTTGACTATCAGAGGGTGAGTTTTGAGTGTCAGGGGTGAGTTGGGGTCACACACACACACAACTGAGGTAACTGGGTTGCATTGCTATTCCAAGAGAATGGCGTGGTTGTGGGTGGGTGACAGGTTGTTATTTCAGGGGCGTGGTGAGCAGACATGTGCATGGATCCGAGAAAATGGATCTGAGATCTGATCCAACGGATCCTGATCTCGGATCCGATGCGATCATAGGTCCAGATCTTTAATCAATGGAGAGATCCATTGGAATCATAGATCCGAGTCTAAGTTTTTACTTGAGATCTAGTTAGATCATAGATCTCACTTTTTGTCAACAAAAATCTAATGAAACGTGCTGTTACTCTGTCCTGGGCGGTGTTTCACGGGACGCTGCTACCACGCTGCTATCAAATTGCGCGAGCTGACGTCACACTTGTGGTAGTGTTGGAGCAATGGGCCTGTTGATGTTTCCATGGAAACCCAATTTGACACGTGTAAAAGCAGCGTGCTGCTATCACCGGTGAAACAGGGCCCTGGTGAATCCTTCCAATCAAAAGATTGGGACTAAATTAAAAGAAAAACAAAAGCAAAAACGAAAAAAAAATCTGACCGCCCACCCTGTCTTTCCCGCAGAGGAGCGCGCTCACTCTGAATGTTCGTCGGCCGCGGAGGCGCTCGACGAAATACAGGAGCAGCTTCAGCAGGCTGGCGGCGGCGGAATCGGCTGTCTCCACCTCCTATTGGCTGCGGCCATTGTGGGCGTGGGCATCCTTGTGTCGTCCCTGCTGCTGATTGGCCCGCGGCCTCCCGGTACCCAGTGACGTCAACGAACGGCGACCGGTGATTGGTTGACGATGATTTGACGTCAGTGGAGTACATGAGGTGGGTTTGGAATGGAATGTTGAACTTCATGCTTGGAGGGTGAGATGTGTGCGTGATAACGCAAATAAGAACACAATTTTAGAGAAGTTAAATGCTTCGGTGTCATTTCTCTTCGTCCAATAACATCAAACAACGACGACTGACGTGTGAAGTGAGGCAGATAGCTGGGCGAGTTAAAAGTAACGGATGATGCTAGCGGTGAATGCGGTTGGTTTGGGGCTGTTATATAATTGCTTGAACGGGTGTATATTGTTCTGAAGGCAAGCATTGTGAATATTGTGATTGTGTGTATGGAACCAAACGTCTTCTTTAACGTATGATAAATTCATGTTAGAAATGTATCGCGAAACCAGTCGTGCTTGTCTACAATATTGGACTGAAGTCTGTTACAGCAGGGTTAAATAACTGTATGGTATCACTGTGCTGGCTATGGTTGCGCTCTGGTGTCTAAAGGACTCGTGAACTTCTCTCGATGACAATACGTGACTCGTGTCGGGCGGGAATGTGACCAATTTAGACTGTGATTGATGCTATACTTGGATGGCGAGAACAGTTCTGCGTACGATTTCAGTAACACAAAATATTAAGTTTAAGTTTAAGTTAAATTTAAGTTTAAGTTTAAGTTATTTGCTGGCACTTTAGTTTTGAGAGTGATTGTTTGAATTCATCGGCCCATAGTTCTGATCAGCAATCAAGTAAATGTTGCAGCACATGATATAAACTATAAAGCTTTGTGAAAGAAGGATGGCGAAGGAATCATTTTAAAATGTCCTTTGGCAACATTTAACTTCATTCCTTTACTCCGATAATGCGTATCCTAATATCCAATGGCCTTCTTTTCGTCTTATTTCGTTTATGTGAACTAGGTACTGAATGATGTGCTACTGTGTATACTTTAAAGCTGGCTGGGAGTAACTGCTCTTGCATTGTGGTGAAAGGTGGTTTTTTGTCATTGCATTGAGGAGATGTCGAATATTTATTTTGCCCTGGGATTTTGTGTTTCGTCTGAACTGCGATGGGTGGGAGTCTTCTTTAAAAACTCGCTCGTTGAAAGGAATTTAATTTTTCTGAGTCTCAATTCGTATCGCGCGACTCACACCATCGGAACAGAACCAGAACACAAAACACACTTCACACTTTACACTTTACACTTAACACTTAATGCACCATTATTGAGCCTAACAGAGCATGTGACATGACATAACAGTGTAAGCAAACATTACATCAAGTGGCATTTCACAAGAAAACAAAAAGTCAACTGATCAGGAATACCTAACTAGAAGGCTCTCGCGTTAACCTCCTATTCGACATCGTTAATTTAGCCTCTCTCGGGCGTGCCCCAGTTGCAGGCGACTCCGTCACCCTCACTGGTGGCGGAGCGTCACCGTCCGCACTGGGCGGCGGCTGAGACACGACTGACGCCACCGCCGCCTGGTGGACAGATGGACAACTAGGCGGCAGGGGCGGCCGGCCGCCACCTGTGAACAAATCAAATGAGGATTTGGTCAATTGTGCCCATTGAAAGATGTCTATAAAAAAAAAAAAATATATTGAAACAGACTGGTGAGTGGTAGGTAGATACTGGACATGGGGTTAAGACAATAGATTGTGGCGAAACGGTCACATCACCCAAACATCCTCAGATTACCGAAAAGATCATCAAAGGAAGGCAAATTGGACCAAGTTGGAGATAGTTAGCTATTTGAGGATGCGTTAGCTAGGATATTCCTACTGTCCCAACTCCCAAGCGTCAATAGTGGCAAGAAACAGTCCTAGAAGAGACCTCGGCGCAACTGGAACTGGACTCAGGACTTCATACCGTTCTGTCCTTTGTCGGCCGACCGAAGCTTCCGCGAACGGCTGATAGATGGCGGGCATGCAGCATTTTCGGGCACTTCGTCCCTAACGTGCTGCCGTTTATGTTTTCTTCTCTGACGATCCCTCTTTAGCAGAATCTGGTGGTTGAAGACGCTCGATGACAAGAACAAAACTGCAACGAAATAAGGTGTTCGGTATTACGATGTGTGTTTCGTAATGAATCACGTTAGGGAGTGGGGGCGGTAGAAAATTTATGCATGGATTTTATTACACTTTGGTCCTTTGGTCCTTTGGTCGCTCATTAGAAATACGAGAAATTTCACAAGCCACAGGCGTGGCTTGTGCATTTTCTCGTCTACTCTACGTTTACTCGTCTATTCTACGTCTCTAGGATCTACCATTCAGTACATTGTAGGCTGTCCCTACTCCCTACTACCATGTATCTATGTACTATACTCAATGATAGATCCTAGCCATAATCATTTGGAAAATGAGAAAACACTTGTAAAGCCTGAGTAGTGCACCATGCAGCAAATCGTCCAAATTGGCAGCCATCACATAAGCTAACTTATTTCCAGTTGTCTCCTAAAATAAACGGGTGAGCAAGTTGAGTTAAATATCCTTTTAATGGTAGGTATACCTTTCGTTCTCCAACCTAAGCTAGAAGGCTGCAACCCTATACATACTGGGTAGGATTGTATGATCAAGATCAAGATCATAAATGATCATGAAGGTTACAAATAATTGTCGTTGCAAATTATATTGCTCCCGCTGACCTCCAAGTCCAATGAGAACCGGACCAATAACCCGAGCCGTTCCAAGGCTGTCGGTCAGGGCGACTCGTTCGAGCGGTGTCTTCATGGGCAGGTGGGCCAGTGACGTCAGCATCGTTCCACCAATCAGCAGCAGGCCGCCGAACAGAGCCAGACACGTCACCAGCGGGTCGCCGAGCAAGATCACGAACCGCATCCATTGCCGGGACTGAGGAATGGAATAGCGAGAATACCAGTCAATTACTATGCAGCATATACGGCCTTTGCTAACAATTTTGGTTTCCACTGCCTTTTGTATATAAACCCTTGCCGTATTGACCTTCTTTACAACGCCGCTTACTTATTGGGGAGGGGAGGGACGAGCGGACCCCAGTCGTTCAGCCCCTGATTGAGCTATAGCTTAGCACAAAAGAGAGCCTGTTGCTTGTGACCAGACGAAGTCAATGGTATCCGTATTTAGGGTCCTAGCCCCTAGGTCACCAATTGATCTTCCGTTCCAGGTCAGTTGAATGACCTGAATCTTAGGAAAATCGCCACAAAATTGTGTAGAGATTTACTGCACAATGAATTTAGCCATTTCACATTTGTAACCATTGACGAACAATTCCTGATTCAGTGATTGGCACAGCAAATGTATTGTTTATGAAACTTGCTGAAGAGACATAGGCATACTGCTTTGTTGTACACCATGACCCAACAGCTGGACGTTTTGACACTGACCTAAGAATTGTCCGTTCTGACACTGACCTGAATCAGGACGCAGTCCTTGACCTTGCGCACTGTCCGGTTTCCCGGAGCGGGCTGGGGAACCACCAGTGGCAGCGACGAACTGGAGTTGATCCGGTGGTATTTGACCGATGACCTTTGGTGCTCAGTAGAAGTTCTTGTAAATGGGGTTTTATGCATTTTTGGTGAGTAGGCGTGGAAAGTTTGCCCGTTTTTCATAAGACATGTTGCAAGGGAAGTTATTAAAATATCAGTCTAAAGTTGTGAGCTGTGCGAAGTTGAACCGATGCATCAATTCGTGAACTATTAAATGGATACTGCAGCGAAACTCTACCGCTATTTCCATAACGCAACTCTAAACAAGGGTCAACATTTTTGAACCTCGATGGCAAAAGTAATAACATGCAAAAATGCACGGAAACATGCTCGCCAAAAATGCCCAAAACACACGTACCGAGACTTTCTATCCAAGATTCTATCCACGCACCAATTTCCAGCGCATTTCTCGTGACATTGGAATTCACATACCACTCACAATGCAATACTCATCAACACGTGTTTTGACTCGAGTGTTGCTCTGCATGCTCACGACTCATTAGCGTCGCCACGGGGGGGCAAGCGGGGCAGCTTGCCCCCCCCCCCAACCTCGGACCGGGCACCCCCTGAGATCGATGCAGATCCGATGAGATTTTCGAGTCGGGAAAAAATGGGGGTACCTTTCGGAGAATGTCTGTGAGGTCAGACTCGGTTGGAGCGTGCAGTTCAAACAAGAGTCAGAGTCGCAGTCGCCAAAAATCTTCAAGACTCCGACTCCAGACTCAGAAATGCCAATGCTGTGATTCATTCCATGTTCCTAGTTGGTGTTCTTTATTACATTTTATAGCTGGTTTTCATAAGTTTTGGAGCCTACTGACACATAATTTTCGTTCAAAGCGTGACACGAAATCTTCGCGGCCTTTCTCAACTCTCGCCAAATGTCTGTGACAGGCTCAACTACCGTTCAAGTGCAGCAGGGCTCATGAGCTTGCTTTTCACACAGGCTCCTAAGGAGCTCCACTGAGCCCTGAAGAAGCTTTCAGAGGGCCCAAACCGGCCTCTGAAAGTCCCAGTGGTGTCCATGCTCTCTGAGGGCCCATAACAGGGATCTTTGAGGGATCGTTACAGGGATCTTCGAGGACCTTATACATTATGTAGACCTCTGAAGGGACACACGAATCTTTGAGGATGCCTTCGAAAATTTCTGAGAACCTTAATTGGCCTCGGATAGTTCAGTCGAACTTTTCAGCGACAGACTTTGGTAACCCCAAGCCGGCATCTGAGGGATCACAACTAACGTGCACCTCTGAGGGCCGCAACACATGTTTCTTATGTCCCTACGTAGGGTCTTAACCCGCGCACCGACGGGGGGGGGGGGCGGATATCCGCCCCCCCCTGAGGTTTTTCGCGAATAGCGGGAAAACCGCGGCGCGTAGCGCCGCGAAATTTGGTATGACTATAACCTCATCAATTTTACACATGGTGTGCAAGTTTGAACCTCCTACCTTTTAAGGTCAGGTCACCAGGTCACTTTGAATGACCCAACCTCAAGTCACTTTTTTGCAACTTTGTCACCGTGCCAGAGCTACAGTAGATGTCGGAGGCCTTTGAAAGTCGCAGGATATTATTAGGTCATTAGTAGCTACAATTAATATATCTCGGAATTTTGATATCGGTGACCTAAGGTCAGGTCAATTTCGCGACCTCCCCATTATAAGTCAATGGGGGAAAAATCAACTCCCTGTTTTTACCACTAAAACGGGTCGTAATGGCCCCATATACCATACATGACTTCATATACGATCAACCTTCACTACCTTGAGGTCTGTTTTGCTGTTGGGCAGCTGTGAGGTCATGTGACGTCATCAAAGGTCACCAAAGGTTTTTGGCCAATAACTCCGTACAGGAACAAGATACAGACGCGTGGATGGTCTCATTGTGTTCAGCTCGTCAAGACGCATCGAATGATATACATGATGACCTCGAGGTCACGTGACCTGAGGTCAACCTTTGACCTTGACCTTTCGAGGTCAACATATATATCATTCGATGCGGATTGACGAGAGGATCACGATGATGCCCTTAGTTTGTTCCTATCTTGACTTATTCGAAAGTTATTCGAGAAAAACTCTCTCCATATCTAGCGCCGCCATTTTGACTTTTTCGACCCCTGTGACGTCATCTTTGACCTGACCTGAAAATGACCTTTGTAAAAATTGTAGATCTTGGCCGTGCGTATCCGATGCCGTTTACCGCTTGTCGCTATCTTGCTTCGTTTTCGAGATCTCAGGGGGGGCGGTCATCCGCCCCCCCCCCGTCGGTGCGAAGTTGGCGCAGACCCCCGTCGGTGCGCGGGTTAAGGGATTCGACACAGACCCCGACGGTTCACACTGTTATCCGAGGGCTCCAGGCTTACCCTGGGCCCAGTCTCTTAGCGCCCGCCGACTACACTGGCTTCTGTGGGTCCCACCTTGGGCTCGGAAAGCCCCAAAGCACCACATACACGTAAATATTTGGGATCACCCACGCCGATCTCAGGTGTCCTAAGCAGGCTTCTGAGAGTCCACACTGATCATGAGTGGCCTGAAATGGCTTGGTAGTCCCAAGCCTATCTCTAAGGGATCCCTTGCCGCTATGCCGTGCGTAACGTTTGGTTCCGTTAAACATTTTTTGTTGACGTTTGCAGCGCTTCCCTTCACACGGAAAACGAGAAACGTTTTGTTCACACTCGAGTGAACAAAACACTTCCTCTCACTGGAGCAAAGATGAATTATTTCTGATTCACACTTCCGAGATTCACTCTCAGTCTCCGGCGAATGCCCAACTTCGCTACAATCGGCTGCTGGGATAAGCCCTATGCATTTCACGTAAAACCTCTGCATGCATGCGTGAATGGAGGTTTTAGCAGGGTGATCGGAAATGGAGCGTTTGTCACCTTTTTCTGGGTAATGATCATGAGCGACGAGAGTCTGCACAAGGGCCCTCTGCAGTGCGTCGGCAACGGAGCCACTGTAATTCTACCGGTCGTTTTTGTCCAGAAATTTGAAAATTTCGAATTTCTCTGTAAAAAAGTTGCATGTCATAGCTAGAAGGAAAACTTTGTCACCATCGAATTCTTCGCACCATTGCGCGTCGAACGATATGTAAAACGAGTGAGTAACGACTGGGGAAAGGCAAGATTTAACACAAAAGTTGATTTTGCCCCCCCAACCGAAAATCTCTGGCGACGCCTATGTCACGACTGCTGCGTAGACAATATGTACAACTGCCCCGCAAGGTGCGGAATGTTTGCCACATAGAAAGAAAAATATATCTAAACGAAAGTAAAACTCAAACCTGTTGTTGAGGAATATTGGAACGAGCATTCCTGCTTTTTATATGTATTGCATAATCATGCAGGCGCCAGGCTAGGCTAGTGATGAATGTTAATTCTATTTAGGTAAACTAATTGATCTGATGGAATATATGTACTATCATCGATCAAATTATTCATGAAGCGAACAACCAACAGGTCTTCCAAAGTTAATATGAAGTGCACAACACACAGCATCTTTTCTCAAGAATCTACAGAAAGAGAACCGGCCATTCCTTAGCCTGTTGTAACGTGCATCCTTCACAATATCTGTTCCCGACATGGCGGGAAATAATTCACCAATGACAGCGCAGTTTATCCCGTCTCCGTGGCAACGGCTAGTCACCGTCACAATTTATTCTACGCTACGCTGCTCACTTCAAGACCTTATAAGCATACATGTTGGCGTATGAAGTGCAACTTTCTCATATATGATGCCATCGCTGCTTAGCACTAGGGAAAGACCAGGTTCCAGCCTCCGGGCACCTGTGATCTGTGGCGAAGACGTTTCTCCCCTCCCCCTCCCCTCGATGCCACCTGGGATGAAACGCGCGTCTTGACCAATCAGATGTCATATAACAGCCGAGTCGAGCCGAGCCCCCGCATGCCCGCAGGCGGCGGGCCGCGGGTAGGGATTGTAAAGCGTGAATCAGTTGTTTCAGTGCTCTCGTGTGCGTGGTTTGACTTTTGATGTGTGGTGGTGATTGGTGAACTTCACTGGTGCTGAACTGTGGTGAAGCGAGACGATTGCGATTAGCCCGTTGACACCATGGCTACCGAAGAGCTGTGTTAAAACGGTTGCGTGTCTGTGGCTGTGGAGCGGTGATGTGACGCTGGTGTTTCGTCGGGACATTCGCCGTCCAGCCCCGGGTCGTCTATGCGGTGACTGGGTGGACCATGTTCGCAATCGAGAGGTACTTCCTGGAGAACTTCACTGCGAACAACACGGTGACGTACCGCACTCTCGACACAGTCTGTTGCACTTTTGGGGATTATATGCATATCGCTAACGATCCTCTCAAATCAGGACATTTTCGGCATCGTTTCCATTCAATGCTGGAAAAGCACATGCCACTGAACTATTTTAAACGCGGTTTTGTCACTGCCGGGAACACGAGACGTGAGGGAGTGATCGTGGATTATGGACTGATTTGGCATCGAACTTTAGCTATACCCGTTTGTGAAATGCATTTACTTAGCTCATCTCATCCATCCGGGGGCAAGTATTGACAGGCAGAAGGCATCTGTAGTTAGACTGTAGTTTGCGACCGGTCGCTAAACATTTACCTTGACAAGGTGATTCCAATAGCGTCTGAATTATTTTTGCTCGGTTCTTTCCTGCTCTCAAGACTTGTGCATCTGCTAATGTCAGCGTTGTTTTGGTTTTAGGATTATGAATTTCTTCATATGACAGAAGAATGTTGGAGTTTCTAAACCGAGATGTCTTCTGACCGACATTCAGCAAACACATCACATCATGCAACAACCAATATTTCAATCCCGTCAAGGCAACTGTTCGTTTGCAATGACTTATATGGACAGAATTCCCGAATCCCAGGAACTGGCCATTGGCTCCTAGCCGATGTTTTGAAGTAAGTGTTCCCGATTTCATTTATTCCAGAGAATCACTAACAATAACGACCAATAACAGGCGAAGTCGAAATCAAATTTTATCATAGTCAAATAGTTCTTGGTTGTTTCACGGAGTAAACCGCCGAATTTCAAGGAGCCATACAAGCTATAAGCAACAGATATATGCGGAAAGGAATAGCTACTTTTTTGTTTGATGTCGCACTTGTACAAAAAAAAAAAAAACGAAGTGGTAAGTGAATTACATACAGCGCCATGAATCTATTTGTCGTCGGGCAGCCAATGCTTAATTGGTTAGAAGTTGTGATGCAATTATGGCGTCAATCATTCCATTTCCAGCTAATTTGACCCTGATGCCATTTACATCTAGCAATGAGGATTGACTATCATGTAGCGTATTCGATTATGTGCATGGTCACTCAGCCCAAGTCAGTAAGTAACTGACTTAACTGACAGTTACCACATATAGGTATCATGGTCTCCAACCATAATCTACCTATAGCTTGCAGTGACCGTCCTTAGCAATGTTGGTATCATGTAGTACTTGGTACTCGCTTGTCTCAGAGGGCCTACCCCGGTTTATAAAGACACGGATAATTTGAAAGACGAGTTTTTCTCTCGTCCATTACACGGCTGCACTCGAGGCCATTGTTACAAGATACGCGTGCCACATGTTACACTAGATGTTCGTCGTCGCTCTTTCTCCATCCGATGTATACACATCTGGAACGGCCTCCCAGAAAACGTTGTGACCGCACCTGACTTAACTAGCTTTAAGAGGGCCTTGGCCGATGCGATTCGTGACGAACTGTACCAGCCTGCGGAGTAGTTGATGATGAGCAACTTCGTGTCAAATATTCTTGATTCACATGTATTTTTTCGTATGAGCTATTTATGTGGATGCTATAACTCCAGTTGCTATGTAACCCCTCTATACTCGCGAATTCTTATCTCAACTGGCGCATCCTTTGATCCTGGGTTCCCTTGCCTTGACTATCCTTAGGGCTGTCAGGCTTGGTGAACCCTACCAGGTGAGAATACCAGGTGAGAATGTAAGTAATGTGGGCCAAATATACAAAAATACGAAATGCTTCACATCATTGAAGACCGCTCTTGTTCCACACTGCAGGGAGTCGCATTAGCGTGAAAGTGCCTCAAACTGACCGCCCTCTTCCCCTGGGGATCACTCGCTTGTCTCAGGGGGCCTATCCCGGTTTATAAAGACACGGATAATTTGAAAGACTTCACACCGATCTGAGATGACATGACTCAGGAAGTTGACCCCACGGAGGTCTACACTCTGGACCCCATGACCCCGACAGGATCTCCAGGCCTAAGTTTCCCAATGTCATCGCCATGAGGAAATAAGTTTCAAATGTTGGTCAATAGTGATAAAACAATGCTTTGAATTATTGGTGAATTGTGTTCTCTATTTCACACATTCCCATTACATGATGTGTATAAAAAAAAAATGGTTGGCTATACATGCATGCACTAGAAATCATTTCTGTTAACCACTGTATTACTTTTTATTTCAACCTAATTTTGAAGTCAGATTTGTCATGTGACTGCAGCTGTCCATCTTAAATGATCCATATTAATCGTGGTGCAAGTCCAGATTTACCCATTTTTCTTTTCCAACCCGTTTCTCTTGCCCCGCACCAAGCGTGCTATCCCCACTGCACTGGTCCGCGACACTTCTAGGATCGTTTGCCCGCACCATCAATCGCTCAGGACATGGAGGGGGGGGGGGGGGGGCAGGGGAGGGGGGCGATCGAACGTCTGGCCTCCCTCCAGAAACCCGAGACGAGCGAGATAATGAGACAATCGGCGTGTGCGTGCCGCTCTTCCCTGACTCTACCTTTGTCTCTCTCCCTCCTCTCTCTCTCTCTCTCTCTCTCTCTCTCTCTCTCTCTCTCTCTCTCTCTCTCTCTCTCTCTCTCTCACTTTCTCTCTCCCTCCTCTCTCTCTCTCTCTATCTCTCTCTCTTTCTCTCTCTCTCCTCCCCTCCCTCTGGCCCTGTCTCTGTCTCTTCCCCCTCTTTCTCTCTTTCTCTCTTTTTTTCTCTCTCTCTCTTTCTCTCTTTCTCTCTTTCTCTTTCTCTCTTTCTCTCTTTCTGTCTTTCTCTCTCTCTCTCTCCCCCCTCTCTCTCTCTCTCTCTCTCTCTCTCTCTCTCTCTCTCTCTCTCTCTCTCTCTCTTCTCTCGGCTCGCTAATCTGCGCTGTCCGTTCCTCCTGTCCTGCCTCGTCGATCGTCTCCTCTCTGCGTTAAATCCTCCTGATAGTTATGCTCTGGGCTTTCGCCTATATTTTCAACAATATTTAGAAAGCAATGCAGCTGAACGATTGGTCTAGTGTTCAAGCCTGTTTGAAACGCAATTGCCACCTACTTCAATCACTTATTGCTCTGTATTCGATGTAACTTGCAAGCAGATGCACGTCGTACGTTGCATATCCACGTTGGGAATAACTGAACGGCCACTCTAGGTCATTTTGCACCCGAATAGCACGAAATGGAAACAAATAATGCTGCTTACACTGGCGACTGGTGTACCCAAAGCGTTACCCGAGCGAATTCCTAGTACAATATTGCAACAACAGCGCTGATATAGGCATTCAAGCATTCATCATTACCAACACTCAATTCGTCAACATTGACCTAACGGCGCCTGTCCACCATGTTAATCTAGAACCAGCTCTTCATCTTTGAGAAGGGGGTAACTGTGAAGCAAAATAAAGCCTCCCCTGCTCCTATATGCAGTCGGGCCTTCGTCAGTTGTATGCTACAATATCATAAAGCTTGCTACTTACATTCACACTCACGCTGGAAGCCAGTCAAAGCTGTGAAGCTAATTAAAAGCACGTTAACAATCACTGACTAATGCTATTAAATAATTAGTCACGTACGGTGAACCAGCTGGGTCCTTACCGACCTCACATCGTTTACTTTTTCATTTTCTACAGCAACGCGTTGTTCACCAATCACAACCTTAGTCCAGAGTTTCTTGTATCTCGATAGCACAACCTTTTCGCATGCGACATGGCAAAACGTTCAGCTCAATCAAAACCCACATTGCTGCTCATTCTCTTCAGCAAGTCCGATGGCGGTCGCGGAAACTCGAGCTCACTTTTGCGTAGGTATAGTTGGTGATATCATTTCCGGTGGCAACGGCATCATTTCCGCCGGAGTGAGCGGGACTTCCGCTGGCGTGAGCGGAACTTCCGCCATGGGATTCACTCGTACATTACCCATCTCCACCCTTTCGGGCTCCTCGTAACCCAAACCCCCGTCGTCGAAATCATCGTCATAGTCATCTTCGACGGTGTCACGTGGTCTCCCACGGGTCTGCGGCAGATAAAATTGCCGAACAGGCTCATAGTACACGTGACCAGGACCGGGAACGCGCTTCTTCCGGCGGCGACGCCTCTGAATGCCCGCCGAGCCGAGGATTCCGGTTAGGAGGAAGAGACAGAGCACAGAAAGGGCGGCCAGCTGTACGCCGTAGCGGGATTTTCCGTAGATTTTTATAACGGCGACCTCGCTGTTGCGCTGGATCTTCTGCGTGTGCGCCGTGCCCTCGCAGCAGTTCGCAGTCACCACGCATGCGTACTTGCCGCTGTGAGCAGTCGTTGCCTCAGGAACGGTCAATCTGGGAAAAAAGAAAATATGCGATTTAGCGTTTAAAACCAAGCACATCTAAAAGGTTTATTTTTGGACAAATAACAATAGCTTTATTTCCTTTATAATCTCTTCTAAATATTATTACGGGGACAAAAGCTTCCCTAATCGCATCTATATGTCTTTGAAGGTGCCTGCAGCATGGTGAATCCAACCGTTTTCGGCTCAAACCGTTCTCAGCGCTATCGACCGAGCCGCGTCGGGCGCTCCGAACCAAACTTTGACCTTCCGGACTGTCTGGGTGCTGGCAATCTGCCAGCTGACTTATCAGACCGAAAGGCTGGCCAATCTGGCAGAAACTGAACTCCCGACGGGCTTCTAGTGAAAATAAACAACCCTTGAGCTTTGACGTTAAATGGTTGGATGTTTTAGAGGGTGGTGGTGGGGCTCTGTGGGTCCTTTTTCCCTGATGGATCGTGAGCAATTGAAAAGAAAGTAGGAAAACAAAGACTTCCATTGCATGTTTCTGGAAACCGATTTGATGTCGGACTTTTGGAATTAATTGTTGCACTGGCAATTTTATCTTGGCTGTCAAAAAATGCGTACTTATTTTGTGCCGCCAATGTTCCGTTCTATGTTGGTAAATTCATAATATTTGTAGTTGACTTTTTGTGCATTTATGTGCGCTGCTGTCTACGTAACATTAGTTCAAATATATAATTATTTACCTTAACTTATGATAAGCCCAAATGTTCAGATATTTTTGTGACGTTTAAGTACTTCGATAACTACGAACGGCTATGTAACCTATTCACTCAGCTGGCCATAACCAGCATGTTTAATTCCGCTTTCCCTCGTATGAACTTCCTAACCTTACGGCCGAATCCCGTTTCGAGCGTGTCTGGCTTGGTCAAAACGACTAACTGGACTCGGCAGTGGCGAACAACTCTTCCAGTAAACCTATACGACATGCTGGGGGACCGCGCCATTCGACGCTCGCCTATAATTGCCGACCGATGTGGTCTCCGTATTCGCGTGACCGGAGTTCGTTAGAGCTCTGGGACCGTTTCGCCGCCGTAATGTTATTCGCTTCTGTTGGAGGCGATTGGGTTAGGTGATCGGCATGGCATGCATGCTTCTAGCTTGATTAGTAGAAGCCCAGGAATAGGGAGACATCAGTGTGACCTGCTTGCTAGCGCAACTCGAGGGAGAAGTATGATACACGGGTTAGTTGTACTATGGTCGATTGAATGTCCCTTCAATACCCGCACTATTTTGACTCATTTACCTTGTTATTTTTAGCGACGTGTGCCAACGTAAGCGAGACACTTTTTTGTCAAATCATATGTAGATGAAATATGTCTATAAATAAAACTGACATCTTTGGCTCATTTTATTGTCCTCTCTAGGTCGTTGTCACTCACCTGATTACGGAATCCGTCCGGTTTTCGAATTCTTCCGCCGCTTCCGCTTCGAGTTCTGCACACTGTTCCGCGCCTTCGTCCGCTCCCGATGGTCCCAGCGAGCAGGGGCTGCTTCCGTTGTCCGATTCAAACCGCCAGAAAAGCTCCTCTGACAGGTCAGACTCGGCAGGTGTGGTGAGCCAACACCGGAGCGAGACGTTGGCCCCCTGCTGTGCCATGCTGTACGTGGGCGTCACTTTGAGTTGGAAGGAGCTGATGATATCGTTACATTCTTGTAGGCAAGGAGGGGGTGGGGAAGGAGAGGTTACAGGAGGGACTGGGGATGAAGATGTTGTTGAAGGATCGGACGCCATCAGCTCAGGTGGATCAAAGTCAGAGTCTTGGCTAGACTCTGTAGTGGAAGGAACAGAGTCATTATTTGTTTCATTGGTGATTCTTTCCTCTGGTTTTGAGTCAGTTCTCGGGTTGGAATCGGTGTCACCGGCTTTGGCGATTGTATTTGGGAAGACGGGTGGACTTAAATTACGAGTGAAAGAAGGCGTGGTTTCGGAAGCGGGTGTGTATATAGGTTTGGTAATGGCTGTGGGTGCTGATGTAAATGTAGATACCATTGTGGTTGTTTGAATGTTTGGGCTTGATGTACTTGATGCCAAAGATTCCGACACTACCGCACCAAATTTCTTGACACCTGGAATAGCTCGTTGGGGCTCTTCCACTTCTTCAACCGCCTCTTCATCAGTGTTTGCGCTAGAGTGACCTTCAGCGTGATGCACGAACGACGTTTTCACTGGAAGATGTTCTTCTGTCTTCGGAATATCATCAGTAGGTGATGTGTAGACTTGTTGAGTAGTCATAACCACGGGAGGACGGCCAGTCGTCGCGCTTGCTGTAATTCCTCTTGGAGATGGCGTTACATTCGCTGTCAATGGCGGTGCTTTGCTGATACTGAATGTCGGCGTCACTTTGCTCACATCTGGCTGGCTGCTTGTCACAAAAGCTAGATTTTCTCTGTCTGATCGTGTATCCAACGAAGATTTTAGCTCAGGGTCAGGCTTTGGTGAATTCCATTGCAATGTTTCGTTCAGGACATCTTCCGGATCTTCTTCGAAGAACATATCCTTATTGCCGGTATCTCTATCGTTGTCTTGGTTGTCCGACACAGGTCTGCCTTCTAGTTCTGAGCTTCCCTTGCTTTGAGTTTTACTGTCACCAAGCACTGGACTCTCAACAAAACCATGCTCCAGCTTTTGCATCAACTGGTCTTTGCCCTCCTCTGCCCACTTGTCGTCGTCAGTATAGTCGTCTGCACTGATGTCATCTGTTCTTCCGCTGCCCTCCTCAGTTGTCAACTCTCTCAGGATGTTGGCATCCTCGTAAGGATCTTGGCCTTGAATTGCTGACATGGCGGTCACGATGTTTTGCGCTGATGACGCTGATGATGCCGATGACGCCACGTCATCGGGCTCCCAGATGGAGTCGACGTTAGCGAACAACAGCGACAGAAGCAGCAACTGAGGCAACATCGTCAGCGGCTACGGTGCGATGGAGACGAAGCTGAATTCTTAGTACTGGCTAAGATAAAGTGTTGAATGCACGAACCCCAGCTAGGAGCTGGCTATTTTCACCACTAGGTTAGCAGGGCCTCACCTCACGCAACCAGCTCATAAAAATCAACGAATGTTACAGAATGCTAGCCCGCTTTCTTGTCCTTGTTGCACTTTATTTCACCAGCAATCACTAGCATTTTACTTCTTTATACTTCAACTTCTTCACTCTGTTTGTGAACAACTTCACCCCTGTTACTTCACAAATCACACTGTTGATTGTTCAGAAGTGTAGTCGCTCAAGTCTTGACACGCAGGTCTGTCACGCGGTTCTAACTTCGGCAGGCTCACACAAAGGCCGCACGTGAGGTCACGCAACCGTCAACCACCAGCCCTCGGCCGACGGACGTCAAAGTGCAAACGGATGTGTGTTTGACACGCTCGAAATAGCACATCTATTTCAGGATGGGTTGTAGCTACGCGACAGCGTGTCACTTCGGTGAAACGTGTTCGGGTTTCGCTACTTCACCGCTCGACTTCTGTTTCACTGGTCGCAACTGTTTGCACGTCTGAACGCAACATATGGAAAACTTTTAAACACTTGTTTCTCACCTTTGTCCTTCAATATCTTAGCACCTCTTCATTTGCTATGGATGTAGACTATTCGTCTTGATATGCCACGATGCAGGTCTTGGATCCGCAGGTTTCTTGCCAACTAGTTGTTGCTTTCGGACCTCGCTGCCGATTTAATCGGAAGCCTGTCCTCAGCCAGAAAGCTTACTACACTGAAATCACTGCAAGGTATTTTCTCACCAAAGCCGTTGCTCGCGTGCCGATTCCATTGATATGCACTTTGCTTCTATTGCTCTCCGGCGAATCCACTTCCAAATGCAACGAGCCGTCTGCAGACGCCGATGCAACTTCGAGACTGTCCGCGCGTCGAGACTGTCCGCGACCCGGGAGCGCCTGAGGCACTGCCGGCCGGGCGCGGTCGACTGCGGCCGCCTCTGCGGGCCGGCGTCGGGCCTAGCTCTGAGCGTGGAGCTAAATCGATTGGCCTGGTCGACGTCGACGCTGCGACGGAGAGCGAACTGCGACACCCTCCGGAACGGCGGCGCTGGAACGAAGTTAGCCACGAGGCGTTCGCGATTTATTGGCGCGGACGTGGCGCGCTTGCGAGATGAGAGCTCTCGGAGATTGCGCGGAGATGAGATGACGGTGAATATGCATCCACTGGTGGTGATGGCAGTGGAGATTTATGTGAAAAATTGCAGCTGGCTCAAATGGCGTGAGAATATGCAATCTGGAAAGGAGGAAAGAAAATAAGTAAGCGTATGCAATATGTAGTGAACAGTGCGTAACAAAGTTGTGAGCTTCACTTCACAAGGCCTGAAAACTTGACATGCTTGTGCAGTCTGCACGTTACGTTTTACACTGACACTACGTTTTATTTATGATGCATTATAGGAAAGTGCATTTTTTCGTGATGGAAACTATCCGACATACATTTTCTAGCATGGCACAAATCAATCAGTATGTTCAATGTTTATCTTTTAAACTTTAAACACGATTTCCTATATGAACATATCTTCTTTTGCACACTATCAGTGAATTCGAGATAGGTATTATGAGGTTTATGAGATAAGTTATTTGTTTCAATTTCATATCATTCTAACTAGCAAAGCGATAATGTAAGAACCTATGACCCATTTATGCCAAATATGTCTTGAAGTTATCACAGATACACCATACTATGGTCTTCTTAGTCGCATTTAACCCTTCGCCACTTTTACCAGTCTGCATTTTGCGACATAGGTCATTGAACGGTCACCGAACTCGAACTTTGTGTTGATTGCTTACTAGGAAGAATCTGATGCAATTATTTGCTATTCAACTTCTTAATTAGTGTGACATTTTACTGCCCTCTTTACCACCTTGATGGCTCGGTAAGATTGGCATCTGTTTGATCGATGTAGCACGCAACAAACATTCATCAGAAATTGATAAAAATAGCTTGATAGTTTGTGGACAGACGCGGCGCAGTGGAGGTAGTTTTTGGTTATTCGAAGTGAGACCTGCACGAGAAAAATATGAAGTGAAAATTTCGGAAACAGTAAAAAGAAGAGGGGAGTTGGATTTTTTCGGTGATATTGAGAACGGAATGTAACTGCCTGATTTGTTTTTAGCCCGCCTGCCAATACTATCTTTATTTTTTGCCATGTGTTTGATTTGAAAGACGCCGGACTGAACAGTTTGAGTAGCTAAATAAAAAATCAGAATTATGTGCAAAAATGCATCAGAAATAATTGTCATGCTGAGGCGATAGTGATAAGTCAAGTCAAGAAAATGCTTGGTCAGTTTTCATTCCCAAACTTTGTTGAACTAAAAAGAACTAAAAAGCTCTTTCAAACGAACTTTTTAGATGCAACGGTAGACAACTAAAAGCTTCACTGAATAGGGGCATGCATTGCTACTGCCAATCGCAAGCATCACCAGCTTTCATATAGGTGTATACTGTATACTGTATACTCACCAATCGAATTTGCATCAGCCAGCTTAGACCATGTCTTAAGCTCAGTCTGTTCAGCTCAGTCACAACTGTTGCGGCTTAGCCGCAGACACCAACCACAAAAAATCACTGCCCACGGAATACAAAGGGCAAAAATATCACTAAAATATGTGTTCTATTCCTTTGCACCACTATCGCCACGCTTCCTCACTCATGGCCACCTTGGAACGTGTGTCTTTCACCTATCGCCCTGACTAAACCGGCCGTTATCTTGCCCAGCTGCCTTCAGGCCGATAACACGTCGTATAGTTGACACGGTGCCGTACTCAAACACAGATGACGTCACCAATCGGAGTGACCAATCACGCCGCGAACTACACTTCGGAGCCGAGTTCGGTGTAAGAAATTTGTCATACCGGAAGAATGCCTGCGAAAAAGTGGCGCCGGAGTGGGTAAGGTATTGGGGCTGGGAGGAACCGGGTTCGATTCCCGGTGCCTCCCGTCCTCTAGGCCTGTCGTTCTCAGCTGATCTGCTAGCGATGGGGAGGGGGGTGGAGGGTGTCTCGCCGCCTCTCATTGCTGTTATAGGCTTTCGATGGAGCAGTAGGAGCCTGAAAAACTTCCGTAAATGGGCACAAATGGCACTCTGGAGGAAAGATGAATCATTCCCGATTTTTTTTGTAAGGAACTTTTGCACCATCTTTAAATCATCAGCTTCTCTTAATTTTTATTTTTGTAGAGACTGGCCAGCGAGATTGTGAAACCGATCTTAGGTTCATGAATCATGAAGGCCAAAAAAATGCACTTTAGGTAACTAAAAAAATGTCCACTTAGGTACAGTTTCACTAATGCCCATCGAGATGATGCTAATACGTCAAAAATGATGGGAAATTGATCGAACAGCGCTGACGTATGTAGTGATACCTTTGTCTTTACCCTTTGGCATGAGATGTAGCTGATGCTGTGCCAACCGGCAACTATCTACTAGTTCCAATAGTCAGTTACTTATTGATCGTGACACCAAGCGCACACGCGGTACCTACCTACTTGTCGTCGAGTCTCGTCGATTTCTCCATCGCTACAGGTGGCGCGGCTGTGCTTTCTATAGGTGTCGCTGTTGGCGCGGCTGTGCTTCTATAGGTGTCGCTGCTGCACGTGGCTACGGCCAAGGCCGTATAAGAGGCTACGACCATATAGAGCCACGACGATAAAGCCGACCACTCTTGTCATGCAGCTCATAAGCCAACGTTAAAAAGTCAACTTTTTGACGCCTTGTAGCTGTATTTTCTGTAACGACGATATTTCGAGCTGCCAAGAGGCTTTTGAGCTTCCAAGCTTTCCTGAGGAACCGAGATGCTAATTGAAATCATCAGTGGGCTTGTGAGAGTACCTATTGGGGGCCACTGAGCTACCGAGAAACCCTTGAGCGTGTAAGAGAGGTCAACTGAGCTACAGGGAAGCGACCTGGGCTATTCTAGAAACACCTGGGTGGGACCGTCTAGGGTCATGTACAGGGGGTCTCAAAAGTTCGTTGACAGGTACCAGCCATGCTTTTTTGTCAATAATTCTAAATCAATCATTAATTAACGGTCGAAATTTTGCATGGGCATTCGTAACAACCTTCCTCAAGCAGTCTCATTGTTTTCAAGCGCATGCGACCCTTCATGAGTTCACAAAAAGGGTTCATCTCTGACCATGGGTCAGGCATGAAAATGGAGGTCGCAAAATCGGGTCGGCTGAGAAACTCTCTATTTCAGAAGTAATGGGAATGGTTAAGTCGGAAGTGACCCATGGCAAACTGTCGGCGAGGATGAGTACAACATGATGATCATCTAATAAAAACGGCGGCTAAAATTTTTGAAGGACAAAACCATGCGAGAGTAACAGCGTTTTGAACGACCCTCGTACGGCAGCAGACTCGTGCTCCGGAAAGCAGCTGAAAATGAAGTCATAACTATTGAAAACTGACAAGAAGCTCGCAGACAGAGGTTAACCAGTTTCAAAAATTGCAGGTCTTCGTAAAATAAAGACAAAGTATCATCTGAAATTGTTTAAACTATCTATAACGATAAATTTTGGGGAAAAATAACACGAAAATCGTCAATGCCAAGGGCAACTGACCCTCCAAAAGTGTCAATTAATGTAAATTTTTATCCTACGAAGTTTCAAGAGGCAGATCTGGAGCGAATAGCTTTCTTTTAGACACAAAATCCCGACAAAACCGCACGATGGAAGGTTTTGGCCGTTTACAAAGCAGAACCTCTTCTGAGGAAAACACTCTGCAACTCAGCGAAGGTCTTGTCATGGGGAATGACGAGCGTTTGGGATTTGCAAAATTTGCACAACGTGTCTAAGAAACAGATGGCCGACACATTCTTCTACGATATGCTGCGAAAAATTCGCCCCTGGCACTTCCCATTTGTTCAGGAAGGGGGTTGTTTTGAAAAGGAAAATAGTGCTTGTGAGGTCGGCGCCAGTCATTCATGAAGGAGTTAGCGCCAGAGAAGACCTACAAAATACTCACGGATGGTGTCGATGCAAGCTGTCGGCTTTCAGGGAGAAACGGATGTTGCTGGGGAGCTCGTCAAACCTTAATCTGACGCAGAAACTGGAGGGGATTCCCCTACAAGAGCTTGAAAGCTGGTAACCTTTTATCAGCCTCCGGCAGCTGACGGAGCGACGAAAATCGGTATGGACAAATATTTTTGGAGATACAGCAAATAGTTTGATTTCCAACCTTCCGAATCAGTTGTCAAAGCATGCATATTTGTCTAGTGTGCACAAAGACACCAAAACCTTAGATTTTTGACCGGTTCTTATATGCTTTATGGGCATGGGAAATGTGTCAGCGAACTTTTGAGACACCCTGTAGACCATATGGTACTAGCTGGGACCATCCGCCTCGCCGTTCCCTCATTTTACGTTCTCAGGACAGTCAAATCCTTAATTTCTCCTCCACCGCTCAAAACCCTGGTCTGGTAGAACAATCACTTTCATCCGACGTGAGTAGGTAGTGAGTAGCTACTCAGGAGAATTGGCTTGGGTGCCAGTATGGTGACTGATCGCGGGGCTGGATCGCCTTTCCATCGAATCGGCCCCAGCCCTGGCGGTGCATAAGAGTGGCCCTATGTACGGCTCTCGCGAGATTAAGCGGTAGGTTTTGCACTGTTACATTTCCGGCTACATCTCAGAAACTAATCGATCTACGATGAAGCCATTTTGCACGATCATGGCCGGCTTGTGAAGCAACAAGTCGATCGCATCTTCAACACTTAAAAGCTTAAGACGACGAAGATATAGCCTGAAGTACACTAAATTTTCTAGGTGCAAAACCTACCGCTAAAACCCGCGAGACCTGTACTTACCACTGTCCAGTGTCCCCTCCTAATTTTCATTATTCCGCTCTAAAAAGCTCTCATTAGACCGAAAAGACGTAACCAAAACAAACCAACTAAAACGAGACCATTTGAGCTACGGGCCCCATCGTGCTTCAGCTACCATGTCCCCTGAGCTATCGAGCTTAGTGAAAATAAGGGACTGCTATTCAAAAGAGAATCCGTCCATTTATAAATCTATTGTAACCACCCGGGGCTCAATAGGTTGTTCAAAGCGCGAAGCGAGGCCTGTGAATATGACAGAAAAAATATCACTATGACCGGAACGGCCTGCCCCGGCCCAGCTTGCAACGCTTGTGAGCTAGTGAAATTCTGCCGGTGCATCTCAGATCTGTTTCTACTCGGTTTGGTTCTCAAATCGACTACTATTCATACACATACATTTGTGAGCGCCTAGCACATGCCAGTCTAGGGGAATAACGGCAAACACACTCAGCTGAGTTAACGATCCGTTTATTTACAATAATCGATAGTATTATTGTAACTCGCTTTCTCTGTACCTGTTCAAATATACCACCGGTGGGAACCGGAATGAATGAATAAAGCAATAACGAATCGCAAAAAAAAACTGAGTGTGAAACACATTCGAAGTACCGTCGTACAGTATTGTACTCGTATACGATGCGCAACTATGCTTTTATAACGAACTGAGGAAGCGTGACAAAGGTGCGACGTGTAACTATTCGCGGTTGGTATTCTTGTATGTAATCCTATGGCCCTTTTAAACAAGCTCAAACACTAATCTTACTTTTTTAGTTTGACTTTTTGGCCGTCAATGACCTCTGAAGAGGTCTACGCGCCCTAGTAAAATCACAAATTAACATCAACTGAACCTGTATATTTTCTACATAGGACAGTGTAGTTATCAGCGTATTCACTCCACGTGCACACCGCTCCCAACCTCTAGCCAGACGGACCCGTCTCGGCCGGAGGGCGGTGAGGGGGGCACGGCCGCTCTGACAGACCCCACAGCGAGACACGCCACCGCCGCGCCGGCCCGGGACAGACTCCCCACAGAGCGAGACGCTACACTGACACCCGGCAGGCCAGGCCGTCCCATTGGCCGCCGGTCAGTCGGTCTCCCCGTTACTCACTCACAACAGATAAAATGCATCACATTTCGTTTCCATCTCTCTTGAGCACCCCCAAAATTTTCTTACGTACTTGTGACGCTATAAGGATGTGTGTTAACAGTGTAAAGGCCTGGCTACACTATGCGTTTTCTGCGTGCGTTTTTGCAGGTTTGCGTGTTTTGCGTAATATCGTTCTAGGAAAAAAGTTATAAACAATATAATTTTTACTTTAGTTATATACAAAAGCTAATATAACTCTTATGTAACTAAAATTTTAGGTGAAAAACATCACAAAAACGTAATATCGTTCTTTTTTCTAGAACGATATCACGCAAACACGCAAACACGCAAACACGCAAAAAACGCACGAAGAAAACGCATAGTGTAGCCAGGCCTTAAGGGCCAGGCTACACTATGCGTTTTTTTGCGTGCGTTTTTCCGGGTTTGCGTGTTTTGCGTAATATCGTTCTAGAAAAAAAGTTATAATTAATTTGACTTTTATATCAGTTTTATTTAAAAGTTAATATAACTCTTATAATAGTTAAAAGTTAGCATAAAATTATATCACAAAAATGTAATATCGTTTTTTTTTATTCTAGGATGATGTTACGCAAAAAACGCAAACCCGCAAAAAAACGCACGCAGAAAACGCATAGTGTACTTGTAGCCATGCCTAAACTGTGACGTTATGACGCCGAGGATACAGTAGTCAAATGGCCACGGTTAGCCACATAGGGGTTTGTTCCATGACTGACACACATATCCCTGGGGGTAGCCGCACTCGGTATCATCCCAGCCCTGAGAATCAATATACATCTGCACGCAGTTATACGCTATGTCATCATTGGGCTCTGTACTAGCCCAGAACGAAGCATTGTTGAACACGGGCTCTCCTCCGTCCTCTGCCACGAACACTCCGTCCTCGCCATGCTCCGACAGTCCGATCCAGGCGTCAGCTCCAGCCGCCATGGTCAGAACGCACTGGTTCTCCTCTGCAGAGCGGGGCACGGCCAGGTGGGCGCCCAGCGAGACGCAGGCGGCTTTAGCTTCGGTGAAGGTGAGCTCCTGAGGGGGTCGGATCAGACAGCGGCCGGCACAGTGGCTGAAGCCGACCGGACAGGCGCATGGCACGGTGGAGTCGTCTGCAGACCAGTGAAACGTTGATAATTAGCCGTGCATAACGACATAGCATAACGACGATGGAATCCATTTCAAAAACAGAAAAAATAAGATTTGCTAGGATGTCACTAATGTTAGTTTTCGAGCTTTCGTCCCAGTCTCAAGTTGAGATGTTGATTTAACATTTTATTTTTCGGCCAGTTACTCCTCCGGCCGAAGAAGATAACTGACCGAAACGTTGTGAAGCTAGCATCTCAACTTGAGACGGGGACGAAAGTCCGATTACTAACATTACTGATACTAACACCTCGTCTCAAGCATTCCGAAGAATGCTGAGACGTCCATACCGTATGATAATAAAAACTTGCAATGGATAGCCGAACCGAGAAGGAATTAAGACCATGAATACCTTATTGAAGATAAGACCATAAAACCTTTAGATGGGACATATTCACACTGACGACCGTTTCAGTATCAAAAAGGTTTTACGAGCACAGGTCAATAATACCTGCAATCAGATGTATTTTTCGGAAGGTTTGTCGCCCCGCGGTAGCTGCTCCTGCTTGCAGTGTCGCTGTAACAAGCAGAGGTCGATAAAATAGGGGACGGGAGTGGCAACATAGGTAGGACAAAATATTGCCTCAAGGCTCACATTCCATCTGTCCATAGTGAAATATACCATTGGCTTCGTTACTGGCTGGATAATGAACCCTCGCACTTAGGGGTGAGGGTTGGCGGGATATGTGGTTGGATGGAGCCCTCTCGGTTTTTCGCGAATAACTCGCGACGCGACGAAACATTTAGTGCCTTCGATTAATTTTACATTTACTGAAAAATTTCATGACCATTACCCAGATGACCTTTGACCTTTGGCCGGCTGCTCGAGACCATCTAGCCATAACTGCAATGCGGTGTATGTCGGCGCACATTACCCATGCGTTCCCAGACTTTTGTTAAATGTTAGAAGTTATTATTAGTTATCACATGCTGACAAGTGGCACTGACAGCTCAAATCACTGATCCTGACTGAACCCATCGAAACAATGTCAGAAGTCCACAGTAGATCATTCCACTCACCTCCAGTGTTGTACAGCTCGCAGGTACCATTCGCGTGGTACGTGAACCCTTCACACGCACCCGACTCTGCCGACCTACATTCAATTGCACAGGTCGTCTCCGAGGTCACAAGAACGGTGGTTGCTGGCTCTCCGGTGTATGTCATGTTCACTCGTTGGAACGCCATCGCTCCGTCGGCCAGATTTTCTACCCAGATGGATGACACAAGTAGGTAGATGAATAAATTTAAAGGAGCCATACTTAACTGGTTGGTGGTTTTGGCTCTTATGGCGTTGTGTGTTTATGTCTGAGTACCTCTATGGACGCCAGTGAGCTATGCTGGTACGAAGAGTCTTTGGGTTTGAATGTGCTTAGGAGGCCTCCGCTGGCGTAAGTGCTACGACGTTCCGACGGTGGTTGCTAGGATACCAGCTCTAAACTTTGACTGACAACCAATGAGAAGGCCGAATAAAAACGCTGGCCAATTTTATTGGTCTGTTTACCGACAAGCCATTTACTCTCACCACCATTGCTTAGGATTTTATAAAAGTAAGCCTGAACTTTTTCGTGCACCACTCACTATTTCGAGCAAAAAGTCTCTAATCGTGAAGTTGCTAAGAAGGTATCGAAGAATTAAGGATGGTAGGCATATGAACATATGGTTTGTACCTTGGACCTCTCTACACCGGTGTACAGATATCTATGATGATACATAGGTTCTAGCACATCTTGCGTCAGCGCCTATCGTTGTTTTCGGTATAGGCCACTTCATGGGGCATTGAGCCGCAGTTGCAGATTACACAAAGGTCACGTTGATCCGGTACTGTCCGTCCGTATGATAACGGAACAGCAAAATAAAGCACTCAACGTGCCCTGTTTTATGACTAGGAGCAGCATGATTTGACCAATGAACAAAACACCTCTGAGCGTATTTCACTTTGGTTCTTGCTGTGCTGTTATTCAAAAGCCAGTCTGGTCATTTTGTAACCGGATATTTCGAACGTTAATCCAATCACACAGTAAACAATCGCCCTATTCCGGGAAACACTATTTACCAAAGCGACAGTAGATGAAAAGGCTCGGGTAAACGAGCAGTTTTGTGACCAGCATCATGAATATCCAACAGTAAACCATCAGGCTGCACCTTTCGGAGGGTTTTTCGGCCGATGGTGCGCCACTGCTAGTGAAGAGAGGGCAAAGGCAATTTTATTGCCCAACGAACCGTCGTGTGTAGACGGAAAACGGCACAGGAAATGCTCTCGGCGGCGAGGTATTTACGTCCATGTATTTTGCTTCAGTAGATCCCAAGATAGATTGAAACCCAAAGGTAAAAGCTACCAGCTTCAATGTGATCAGTTTACAGAAAGGTGGCTAAAGAGTGGTTGAACAGACTTTTGACTCATTTGTGGGCCATAACTGACAACACTTCAAGTGATGCCCGAAGAGTTTGGCAAGACGTAAACCTTTTTTATTACGTCTTGATTCCTTTAAAAATGAAGATGTTAGCGGCGTTTGAAGTTTTGCCGTTTTTGAGGCGAAAATGGCGAACATGACGTCACTAAAACGTCAATTTCTCAAAAATTTCCCGACGGATTTCGCTCAAATTTTCAGGGAACGTGTCAAATTGATGTAAGAAAAAGTACTAAAAGTTTGGCGGCGCTGCGCGCCGCCGTTTTTGAGATATTGCAAAAATTCGCGAGGGGGATAAAATTTACCCCTCCCCCCCAGCCCCGCGCGGGTTAAGTGACCTGGCTCTGAAATTTTTACTACATTTGTTGAAAAGATTTATGATAAGGTGTCGCGCCGCCGTTTTTGAGATATTCGCGAAAACCTTGATGGCGTAAAGGTCGCCGTCCACTGCACTTTTATCCGCCAAAAATAAGCGCTTACTGGCAGAGTTAACTACAGAGGCAATGGTAGGAGCAGAATCTGTAGACGCCGAAACGGCCCAGCCGCCGACAACGTGTTTCGGCATGTTATCTTTTCATCGCTTATTTTACGCTCTTAATTTAGTGGCGGAAAAGTTGGATCATGGAAGCTTTTTCTGCCGCTGTTGACGCCGACTGCGCAAGATTTAGTTCCCTTTGGCGGGCTATTGCTCGGTGACGGTGCGGGCTACTGGGGTGAAATTTTCGCACCAAGTCAGACGCATGCAACCATTTGTCATGTCAGCTTTTTGAAGGGGTGCGTTCAGCGGTTTGCACGTGGCGGGCGCATCTTTGCGACATTTTGGGCCGCGGCCGGTGCCGAGCAGAGAGCACGTGCCTGAGACCCAGATTTTTCACCGTGAAAACTGAGCGAAATCAGAGCCGGCAGGTCACGTAGGGACGCTGATTATTTAGGGACATATTTGTGTTATGAGGTTATCGGTGGAGCCAACAAATAACTAAATGCACTTACTTTTATTGACGTTTCGGTTTCAAACAACCTTCGTCAGAATAGAACTACAAGTTAAATATACGTCTCAAATGCACATATTTCAAACACATAAACGAGTGTGTTTGAAATATGTGCATTTGAGACGCATATTTATATTTCAACTTGTAATTCTATTCTGACGAAGGTTGTTTGAAACCGAAACGTCAATAAAAGTAAGTGCATTTAGTTATTTGTTGGCTCCACCGATAAACTCATAACACGTAGGGACGGCTCAGGAGACAGATGACGTCACGGGGTGTCAAGGTTTTGTCGATTTTTAAGACATTGCTGTGCAGTAAATAATCTTTTTTATGCTCTAAGGGAGCCCAACAGTTAATATCAAACTGCCTTAGAGGAGAAAATCCTCGAAGATAAATATTGGCGAAGATTGGCAGGCACCCGCTGACGTCATCTTTCAAGGTCACCGATGTAAACAAACGGCTAACCATTCTCCTATACCCGAAGGCTTGTTGTCAATAGTTAAAGTGGTTAAAACCAGTTCTATAGGCCAGTGGCGGATCCAGGAAAACTCCAAGGGAGGGGCCATGAATCGAAGTGGTGCCCCTACCTATACCCAAAATTAAAAACTCAACGGATTTCGGCCACTTCATTTTGATGGTGCCCCTATTTTCAGTTTTTTTTTATTAAAAAAAATCGTGTGTGTTGCCCCTGGCGGGCCTGTGGTGCCCCTGCTAGGCCGCAGGTGCCCCTGACACAGGGGTGTCGATTTGTGAAAATGGTTGGGGGTGCCCAGAGCTCTAACCCTCGCCCGTATGCATTGGGGGAGGGGGGGGTCGAACGGACCCCCCCTCGGTTTTTCGCGAATGACTCGCGTAAAAAGCGGCCGATCACGACGAAACTTTCAGTAGTGTCCTCGCGTTGATCAATTTTACACCTACCCTTGAAATTTCATGACCCTGACCCAAATGACCTTTGACCTGTGACCTACTTTTCGAGACCATGCTTGGCCGGAATCGTGATTTGGCGTATGTCGGCTCGCATTAGCTGCGCGTTTGCAGTCTTTTCGTGGTTTCAAGCGTTCAAACATGTGATATGATGTTGCTCCCATGCATTAGAGTGGGTGTCAAGGTCACCTGAAGGACAGGTCAGGTCAGTGACCTTTGATGGCCATTGACCTTTGATGACCTCGGTTTACTTTTTTCGAGTTTTACATGTATCTAGGCTAGTTTTGGGAGCTAAATTCGAATTTAGCAACCATTTGAACATTTACGAAGTAGTTTTGGTGCCTTCGTAACATGTTACGAAGCTGTCAGAGGCGGTTGACACCTAATACGAATACCCGGCAGGACCCCTACTACTGGTTGACCTGACCCGTCCTGACCCCACCTGGCCTAAACGCATGACGACATCTTTGTGATCAAAACTAACATAATATTCGTGATCAGCACCCCGAAAACCCCATAGCAGCCACACTATGACGTTCTAACAGGTCCCGATTTTCCCTTTTTGGGTCATTGACCTGACCTGGAAGGTCAACCAATGACCTAGGGGCTAGGACCTTCAAATTGGGTATCATCGGCTTCCTCTCGTCACGGGAAACACGCTCGTTTTTTCCCGCGCTCTAGCTCGATCAGGGGCGAAACGGCAAGGGGGGGTCAACGGACCCCCCCCCCTCTTATACGTTCGCGGCTGGAAAAACACCAATACGGGCGAGGGTTAAGGCAGACCTCATATGCTATTCTTTTTACGGAGCGAGCGAAGCGAGCGGAGTCTTTCCTTAGATTAACGGAAATTTCTGAGTATGAGCGGCCGGCCGGCCGGCCGGCCGGCCGGCCGTGCGGACGCTTTTGCGAGGCTTATATCTCAGCAACCACTTGACCGATTTACACGGGGTAATTTTTGTAGGGTAGCTTCATTCCTTCTACCAAGTATTGGACTATTCCCGATGCATGTGGATGACCCCTTATGCACGTGCCACGCGCAAAACGAAGAGGTATCGGTTTTGTAATTGTTGCAATATCTCGGTAACTACTTGGCCGATTGCGCTGAAAGTTGGCATGTTGGTAGGCACCCACTAGGCAATGCATATCCATGTGCCACAGTGGGGGTGCTGCTGCACGTGCGCACGTGCAGGGGTCGTTTCCAGATCTCGAGAACGGCTGGACCGATGGTGCTCAAATTTGGTACACGGTTAGGGACCAGTTAGTAGGGTGCCGTGCACAAGTCAGTTGGGACCCATTCTGCACGTGCGCACGTGCAGGGTGCCGCTTCCAGATCTCGAGAACGGCTGGGCCGATTGTGCTCAAATTTGGCACATCGCTAGAGACCGGTTAGTAGGGTGCCGTGCACAAGTCAGTTGGAGGTACCCCCTCGAAATTTCGCACGTGCAAGGCTCACCCTCTCGCTCGCTCCGTTAGTCGCCCCAAAAGGCGCTATACTGGTAGATAAAACTGCATTGTGTTAGTACCAGGGCTTCGGATAACATGTTAACTGGGTGGGCAATCGCCCACCCAGTAGCAGTTTTTGCCCACCCAGTGGAGTGTGTTTGCCCACCCAGTAAAGACGGAGACGGAGCAGTTTTACCCGCGCTGGGCCGGTGCTCGGCGCCTTCCGCGCCGGGTCGGGGGTGTGTCTCTGAAGTCTGAACACCCTCGTCTAACTCGGCCCCTGGGCCGCGTAGCGAAATGCGGTAGGCGGCATTGGAAAGACAGTTAAAATGACGAGAATACTTGGTCTTTATAAGGTCAGGTCAAAGCTCAGGTGGCCAGAGGTCATAAAAGGTCAAGTTTGGATTGTTTGAAACATTTTCGAAAACCTGGCGCATCATT